TCGGAGGTGCCAAAGTGCTTCGGATTTCTAAAGATGGGCAAAACAGGGGAGGGAGGGAAAATTAAGGGAATGATGACAGGAATCTAACCCTAACCCTACTCCTAACCTTAGCCCTAACCCTTACCCAACCTTCCTCTACCCTAACCCTAGGAGTAGGGTTATGGGTAGAGTAAGGGTAAGGGTTAGGGGTAGGGTAAGGGTTAGAGGTAGGGTTAGGGTTAGGGAATTGCCAAATTCCCAAAGTGCCGAAGTCCTGAATTGCCGAAGTCCCAAATTTCGGAAGTGTTGTACCGAACCGAAGTGGCGAATTGCCAAAGTCCCAAATTTTGGAAGTGCCGAACCGAAGTGCCGAATTGCCGAAGTCCCGAATTTTGGAAGTGCTGAACCGAAGTGCCGAACTCCTGAAGTTCGGAAGTGCTGAACAGAACCAAAATGTTTGCCCATGCATATCCCTACTTTGGGATAGTAATTCACCCTTTTATATATGATTAAGACATATCCCTTTGAATTTATATTGAGTTATAGGAGTTAATTAAACTGAAATGTATCTTTAAAGCAGATTAAAAGATTTTCCAACGCACCTTTTACACATTGTGTGTGGGGACGTTTATGGACAGTAAAGATTGATTTGATTTGAACGTTGGAATGCAAGGAAGTGGATGGTGAGACGCAAGCCGGAAATGGAATCCAAATAAGGAGAATACGCGGCTAAATTTAGAAAAAAACCTGAACAGCTGTTTCGAGTGGGAAGAAAAAACGGAGGAAGCAGATTGGCCCTTGGCAGTATGGGAGCTGATGAGGGATTGGATGAAGTAAGAAAACACCCTCCAAATACCGGTGCAAATCAGGATAAGCCCTATTTAAGGAAAAGGAGTTCGGGGATGGGTAGGATGATTTTTTAGTCATTTATTTCTTGATGTGATTGTGTATTTTAAGATAGTGGTTCCTGAGGAAGTTTCTTCTGGAAACGAAACGCGTAGGGCCAGAGACCTAGAATTGATTTTAAAATATAAAGTTTTGATCTATTTTACATTTGTTATGCCAGTAAATCAACTTAAACCTAGCTGGTTCCGATCTCCTATTTAAAGAAAAATTATTCCAAGGTGCTTGAAACATTTATAGTCTGTATTCAGCTGAAACTCATATATTTTGTATCATATTTTGTTTGTATGAGGTCACCAACAGGGAAGGGACCTCGGGAAGCTGTTCATATAAGCTAAGTGTTAACTTACACTATTAGTGATTAGAGGATATATTGGCACTATTTTGCACTATTAAGGACTGGCAATTGCCTTACACTTTTATACCAGACTGACTTTCATTGAATGTGGCCCATTTGGTATAACACCTTGACATTCCAAGTAATTGGGCTTCAACTTTACATTGAACTATGTGGTTAAAAATTGAAATGGAATTTAGAATAATATTTTGTTCACAGTTCTTGTATTTTAAATGTAAGTATTTAATGAACATTTTATATATTCCAGTCTACTTGATACACATTGTAAATTTTATTATGGACCTTAAGCCAATATCATTTTTTTTATTTGATTCAATTTATCAAAGAGCAATATTACAGAAAAGTCTATCTATCAATTAAATCTATCAATTTAAATGCTATGTTCTTGGAACTATGGTATAATCTTATTGTGTTTACCACTCTTATCTCCACTACCCAGCCCCATAAATCTCTCATGAATGTCATAGGTTTGCAGTTGTAAAACCGTTGTTTACAGTAGGAGTCGTCTTCGATAACACAATGAAGTCAGAGGAGCACGTACATGCTGTAAAACCATGTCTTTGCTGAGAAGCAATGCTACAGAGAAATACAATAAAATTCAGGAACCAAACAAGAATTAAAATTACAACAGAGAGAAGGAAAAATAAACAAACAATATGGTCGTTTTATTTTAATTGGTATATCAGAAAAACTATCGCAGTAGCATTGTAAGATTCCCCATTTTTCACATAGGGATGGTTAATAAGATCAAGCAATTACTCACGGTAGAAATACAGAGAACGGTGTGGAACCATTTTTGCATGAGCAAAAATGTCCTAAATTGCTCAGTGTACCTAGATTTAATGATTTTTATTTGGGGGGGGAGGGTCATTAGTGTTGCCAATAACATTACATAAGAGAGAAAAACTCATGGCAATAGGACAGAGGTGGCATGCATTCAGCAGCCCCATAATCAAGGAAGCCGTCCAAGCACCATAACTACTACACTATCAGTCAATGGACAAGTTCTTATTTTGCACAAAATTGACATCCAATTTGTACAGTTTGAAGTGACCAGAAGCAGCACAGGTACTAAGTAGGACCCAAATTAGTGTCAAATTGTGCTAAAATGGTCTGACAGATTACACTGGAACAGTCTAATTGAAGCTACAAAGGTTTTATGTGAAGGCACAACAAGGCTGAATGCACAGGAGACTGAATTCCAGAATTAAAACGAGAAAAGAGTGCAAAGAGTAAAAAAGAAAACAGCACTAACCATTGTGAATTTCATGCATTAAGCACTTAATCATAGGTCATACACTGGACTTTACCATAAGACACTCTTGATACTATAACCACTACAGTGGCCTGTAGTAATCATGGTGCTTGGAGCGCCTTTATACGGAGTGCATGTTCTTGTGTTTGTGTATATTCACATATAAATTGTAGTAGACGAAGTAGACAAGGACTCAAGACACAAGGTATATCTGACAGAAAGCCAATGCCTAGCGTCCTATCCGAGAATACAAACCATAAAATACACTATTTGTCTTACTATCCTTCGATGAGACTTATAGCAGTGCCTATAACCAGGTGAAATATTAAATGTGTGCGCATGTCAGAGAAGTCAGATAACAGCATGTAGTAAAAGGATAATAATGGAATTTAGAATAAAGTCAGGAACATCACTGGATTAAAAGGATAAATTAAGCACTAGCAAAATCAATACCAAAAATATACTTAGACTAGCGTAACTTTTTATCAGACATACAAGAAACTGAATCAGGGCAAAGACTACTCTGTTTAAGCGAACTATACATGTATAGAAGACAAATGCTATGGACTACAGCAAGACAACAAGCAACAAGTTGTTTTGACATTTTTGACAGGAATATAGTGTAGCACAAGAAATACAAATCAGCACTTCTATTTGTCTTGTATAAAATACAATTATAAGCCACCAATATTGACAAAATGGTGGGCTTAGCCCAACATGGCCGTATGGTGTGACTTAATCCTAGTATTTTAAATCACCATGGTGGCAAGGAGTCTCTCTATATTGGATGCTAACACGATTGTGTGAGAAGAATGAGCAATGTGGAGACAGCGTGTACATCTCCTGTTGCCTTAAGGCCCCTGCAGTCTTGTATTTTACAGAAATAAAACCCACGCAACTCTTATTTGAAATACTTTTCTACACAACCAACCACAGGTTTTTTTTTTGTTTTTTTCTAATTTATTTTTAATATTATCAACCCAGCTTTATTGGAAATCCATTCAGAAATCACTCCAGGCTCCAGAGAAAGGCAATAAAGATGAATGATGCTTCGGAGAAGCTACAATATTTACCTGGTTGCTTGGCAGCTGCTGAAAGTTCACCTGCATTAAAAAGAAAGTCTCCGAAGTTGCATCACAAATTTACATTCTATAAAATAAATGTGATTTTCGACTTTGGTTCCAGGGAGCTAAGGGAGTAATATACTGTTTATCGGAATTCTCGTGTAAAGAATATTTTCTGATGCGTAGCAAACATATCCCACACACATTGAAAGCAACTTTCTTGTTCGTGGCAAACAACAGCTGCTGTTTTGCTTTTCCTATAAAGTGCAAGGTTTCGTGTTCAACGCGGAAGTTTGCCCTGTTATTGACGGGTCCTCATCACTCATCGGCGTAGAGTTGGCTGTATCCCATCATGGCATGTTTCCACGGAATAGATCACAATAGCTAGTGTGACATATTCGCATCATTGTCGAAATGTTTGTATCTTTGACCTTCACATTTAAAAGAAGTGGTCATTTTTTTGTGTTCTTCTGTTTTATCTTCTAGGTTGTTTTTTTTATTATTCAATTTTTTATATTTTTTGGGGGGTCACTGTTTTCTTTTTCTTTGCTTTTACCGTAAATGTAACAGCGAAAGACCAGCCCGAGTGTGTGATCTGTCGGATGTGTTTCTAGATAACGAGTGATTCACACTTCCAGTATGTAATGTTAAAAGCCTGGGTAAATCACTGAAAAGAGAGCTGCTGTGTTGTAATGTATAGCAAATGATTGCAATGGATAACACCTCTGCTGGCAGAACTGCTTATACTAAATTACCTGGAAGTGCCATAAGGGTTGTACAAATGGATTGGAAAAAAAGAAAAATACACAGGAGTAGGCCTACTGTAACTCATTCTTCTCTTGTCCATCTAAAGGAACATATTTCCTAGCTACGAGTTATTTTGAAAGAAAAGCGGGTGGCTGGCTCCAGAAAGAAAGGTTAAAGCTATTTCCACTATATAAAAAGCTAAAAGTCATATTAACTCTTTTCTTTTTTCTTCTAGCACAAGTAGCCACAAAGAATGTCGAACGGCTGCTCTAAGATGTTCCAGTGATCTTAAACATGCAGATCTGATATCGTAAGATAAGAATATTTAAAAGTGTCTGCTTCGAGTCAGGTTCCGTATTTAAAACTTGCTTTAAATGTCTAGAGCAAGGGTGGCTAATATACAACACCCAAGTTAGTAAATCATCATGGAAACTATAGTTCAGTAATATCTGAAGTCAGGGCCAGATTTCTCAAGTGTCTGCACCTGCTCTACCTGTTGAAATCCCCCACCCAACCTCCAGTTCTTTGTCATCTGGTTGCTGGACTCTGGCATCGCTGCATTTAGTCTGCGGAGCCGGTTCTCACTCACATTCCACACCAGTGAGCTAGACAGGTAAATATCGTTTTGGCCCCAAGAATCATTTGCTTTACTGGATAAAAAGGTTCGGGACAAGTGCAATCTTGAGGGAAACTACCAGCTACGAGACCGTTTGATTGGTCTTTCACTCCTATACACAGGATGGACAACCGATATGCACATCATGGCCACTGTGGACCTCCACCAGGGTTACCTCTGGCTTTACCCTGCCCAGGCATAGTTTACCATCTTTCAGGTCCTATTGCGCGTGATTACACTCCACCTACCAGATAAGGCTGGCAACACAGGCCGGTGATATGCAGGTTCCCACCTAAGACAGGTCACCTCAGCCCTCACCTTCATTGCACCAAGGGGTCTGGCTGTGAGTCCTCCGACTAACACGTGCGTTAGACTCCTTGGTCCCAAGACGGTTCGGGTGGGCCACCATGGGAGTGGGCAGCACACCGTAGTCCTGATACACTATAACCCACACTGTTATCCACACTGTCCACACACACTGCTACCCACACTGTCCACAGACACTGTAAACACATACTGTTACCAACACTGTCCACACACACTGTTACCCACACTGTTGCCCACACTGTCTACACACACTGTTACCGACACTGTCCATACACACTTCCTCACATATTGCAATTAGTCCACCAAATTGTAATCAAAAAGAAAAATGAGGAGGAAGAGAATTGGATCACCATTAATATTCTTACCTCTTGTGTCTCTTTGCCCCACTCCCTGAAGAATGTAAGCTTGTTTAAGCAGGGCTCTAAACACCATCTGACCCTGTTCTTTATAAATGATAATATGAATAATATACCCCTATTACTTATATATTGACTGCTTAGTCTATTCATTATGTCTTGTACTTATATAATTAAACAGTGTAAAAAGACAAGAATAGAGCATGTAACTAAGAAAACTTTACTGGGATTGATCCCTATGGCAGACACAGCCTATTTCAGTACGTTTAAAGAGTTTTCGTAATTAATAAAGTAAACACTCAATATGAATAGGGGTATGTGGGATTACCACTAATAAACACACTGTTACTCACACACACAAATGCTATACAAACTGTATACACACACTATACGCAAACACAAATTACACACTTACATACACACAGACATTTACACACTACTATACATACGCATCCGCGACACACACACACTTTATATATGTGTATATAATTTTTTTTATATTTAGAATAGAATATTTACCATTAGTTTGGAGATGGGGTTTAGTGAGGGGACGCGTGAGAATTCTGTGCTTACAGGCGCTCATTATATAAATCCAGCTTGGCTGGAAAGCAATCGTCCAACCCTAGTTTTATTTTTGGTGCAGAGAGACAATCTATTAATGTTTATTCACTAACATGCAACAGCTATTGGATGAATCTATTCACAGACCACAGCTGTCTATCAGTTACTCCTACAGACTCCATTGGTTTAAACGTAAACTGGAATCTGGAGCAAGAACTGAGAAAGTGAAAGTGAGACATTTGTTTTGTTTAAGGTGCCAATAGAACTATCCAGGTTTGGAGGATTAGATCCAAAAGGGATAGTTCTGGGTCTTGCAAGCTGTTCCTAGTTTGTGTTAAGATCTTAATTATTAATTTCCTTGAACAACTCAATAGAGCATATTAGCAGCTTAGAAACAAAAAGAAAAAAATATTAATACTTATATATTGTCTGAGATGCATGTAAAATGTACAATTTCCCATCAAACCTTCGCCCTTCGGGTAATTCTGTTCGAGTTCAGAGACTCTTTCATAAAACATTCCAGCACACAGAAAAAATAATTCAATTTCAGTCTCTACTTCCCTAGTCAGTGGCTTTACACATCACAAATCATCATTACTCCTGACATTTCCCGATTATTACACTTGGTACATCCAGTTATCATCAGCCAGTAGGAGAAATTGCTTCACCTGTTCTGTGTTGAACCATGTGATGCAGAATGGGCTTGTAATCCAATTTATTGGAATTCACAACAGTGTCACATGGAGTTAAATGGTTAAGGGTAAGGAAAAAAGAAAATTTATAACCCACGATTGCAAACAACTTTAACCCAGACTCCAAATTCCTCCGTATAATGTATTTTAATTATCTGCATCACATTATCACTTAAAACTGGACTCATGTTGCAGTCAGTCAGGAAACAAAGCATTTGTGTGAAATTAGTCACCCTTATAATATTTCCTGGCATGGAGCTCACACCTGGAGGTAGATATCTTGATAAGAACAGTTTTCTGGTGGGAATTAAATGTATATTCTAGAATGGACATATAACCTGAACATCATTAAGAATTATTACATTTATGCATCAGAATTACATATTTTGTAACATATGTATTACCTGTTCTAAAATTATCTTCCCTCTTATTACAGATCTTCGGTCTTTTGAAGGAGCACAAACTCTTAATTACAATTGGTTCTCGTGAGATCTTCTCATTCATGGACATGCCAAGGAAATGTACTTGCATTCTCACCTCAAACTCTGACATCACACAATGCCAGTGATTGGTAATGACATAACATCTGCATTTAAGCCTTTTTCACAAAATTAAATAGATACATAGAATGTGACGGCAGATAAGAACCATTTGGCCCATCTAGTCTGCCCAATTTTTAAATACTTTCATTAGTCCCTGGTCTTATCTTATAGCTAGGATAGCCTTATGCCTAACCCACGCATGCTTAAAGTCCCTCATTGTGTTAACCTGTACCACTTCAGCTGGAAGGCTATTCCATGCATCCACTACCCTCTCAGCAAAGTAATACTTCCTGATATTATTTTTAAACCTTTGTCCCTCTAATTTAATACTGTCCTCTTGTAGTGGTAGTTTTTCTTCTTTTAAACATAGTCTCCTCCTTTACTGTGTTGATTCCCTTTATGCATTTAAATGTTTCTATCATATCCCCCCGTCTCGTCTTTCCTCCAAGCTATACATGTTAAGATCCTTTAACCTTTCCTTGTAAAAAAAATAAAAAATAAGGTGGAAATGCAAAGGTTTAGCAACTTACTTAATTAGGCACTCAAGAAGTGAATGATATGTAAGTTTTGTCATTTTGCATGAAGCTGTCTATTTTCCAAGCACACGGTGGGCCAAAAGTAACTTTACCATTTGAAAATAAGATAACCTTCTCTAACCCCTTAAGACCGCAGGGCGTTCTATGCTGTCCCTATTTAGATGGCTCTAAACGCCGCAGGGCGGCATAGAACGCCCTGCGATCTTATGTACTTACCTGGTCGCCGGCGATCCCACGCCGGCGTTCGCGGTATGGAGACTCACCTGGGAGCCCAGGGAGTCCCCCTCTGTCCTCTTCGGCCCCCCTTGGCCATGTGATCGCGAGGTCCTTGCGAGGTCCTCAAGATCACATGGACGGCAAAGCCGTCCAAGGCATTGCCAGCAGGGGGAGTGCCTGTAATGACGGGTACTCCACCTGCTGTCTGAAAAAAATTAAAATAAATGTTAAAACAGTGTAAAAAAAATAATATATACTTAGATCATATATATATATATATATTTATTATATATATGATCTAAGTATATATACACACATATACACACATACACTGTCTAAGTGTATTTTAATATTAATATATACATAATTATATATATATTAATATCAAAATACACGTACAATGATATTGATTAAACATATATATATATATATAATTTTCATTATATATATATTTATATATAATAAAAAATAAATAAATATGTAAATACGTTAAATAATAAAATTTAAAAAAATTAAAAATAAATAAATAAAAATTATATATACATGTGTAATTTCGTTCTAACTGTATTTTAAAATTAATATATATATATATATTGATATCAAAATACATGTAGAATGAAATAATATATATATCTATATACATAAGTATATACGTATATATAACTATATATACCTATATATAAATAAAATAATTTAAAAAAATTATATGTATATATATATATATATATATATATATATATACACACACACACACACACACACACACATATATCCATTATGTATCTCCCAAGGTTAATTATTAAAGGAACACTGTAGGGTCAGGAACACAAACATGTATTCCTGACCCTATAGTGTTTAACCCACCATTTAGGTGGCCCGCCTCCCCCCCCCCATCCCCTCTTTATGACATCATCGAAATTGCCTTTTTTTAGCCAATCCAATGCTTTCCTATGGGGAAAGCATTGGATTGGCTAAAACCTGCACTGGAGCAGGGCCAAGTGTCATTTTGGCCAATCAGGACATCCTCATAGAGATGCATTGAATCAGTGTATTTCTATGAGGAAAATTCAGCGTCTCCATGCAGAGTGTGTGCAGCCCTGAGCCAGGAAGCACCTCCAGTGGCCACTTAGAGGTGTCCCTAGGGGAAATGTAAAAAATCAGAAAACAGGCAGCGTTTACATGAAAATGCCTTAAGGCAATGATTATACTCACCAGAACAACTACATTAAGCTGTAGTTGTTCTGGTGACTATAGTGTCCCTTAAATATAAGCCAATTCTCTTAATACAGGTAAATGGTATTGCACTCCTTCGTAACCCTAAGCCATCCTAATACTAAAACAAACTCCCCTTACCCTTTAATGATACTACAACTTAAATCTCCCTTCACCATACTACAGGGAGTGCAGAATTATTAGGCAAATGAGTATTTTGACCACATCATCCTCTTTATGCATGTTGTCTTACTCCAAGCTGTATAGGCTCGAAAGCCTACTACCAATTAAGCATATTAGGTGATGTGCATCTCTGTAATGAGAAGGGGTGTGGTCTAATGACATCAACACCCTATATCAGGTGTGCATAATTATTAGGCAACTTCCTTTCCTTTGGCAAAATGGGTCAAAAGAAGGACTTGACAGGCTCAGAAAAGTCAAAAATAGTGAGATATCTTGCAGAGGGATGCAGCACTCTTAAAATTGCAAAGCTTCTGAAGCGTGATCATCGAACAATCAAGCGTTTCATTCAAAATAGTCAACAGGGTCGCAAGAAGCGTGTGGAAAAACCAAGGCGCAAAATAACTGCCCATGAACTGAGAAAAGTCAAGCGTGCAGCTGCCACGATGCCACTTGCCACCAGTTTGGCCATATTTCAGAGCTGCAACATCACTGGAGTGCCCAAAAGCACAAGGTGTGCAATACTCAGAGACATGGCCAAGGTAAGAAAGGCTGAAAGACGACCACCACTGAACAAGACACACAAGCTGAAACGTCAAGACTGGGCCAAGAAATATCTCAAGACTGATTTTTCTAAGGTTTTATGGACTGATGAAATGAGAGTGAGTCTTGATGGGCCAGATGGATGGGCCCGTGGCTGGATTGGTAAAGGGCAGAGAGCTCCAGTCCGACTCAGACGCCAGCAAGGTG